AGGCTTACTATACTTTCAACTTAGACAATGATCCTGGAACTTAGTCATCAGGTCCTTATTCTATAGTAATAAACTGAATGATATTGTGAACAGACTTCTTAGTCCCACCTCCCAAACAAATGGAATGTGGCCTTTGGCAATTGCTTTATCAGTTTGCAATTGATGTTACATTTGTTAACAGAGTGCATGATGACCAGTGTGGGAATTGTACAGATATACAACAGAAATTCCAAATAAAATGTTGCAATTTCAAAACACAGAATTGTATAGTACAATCTTTGGATTTCAGAAAGATACAATATTGGCTTCACACATGACAAAAAAAAACCAAACTGGTATTGCTGATGTCAACATTTCAACATGATATTGATAGGGAAGCCTCCACAAAACGGAAGCCCGAGATGGAAATTTTCAATAATAAAACCAAAGGCAGAGCAGATGTTTTTGATGTTATGCAGCAAGTATGATGCCAACTGAAACACAAAGCATTGGCTAATGGTTGTGTTTTACTTGACCCTAAACACGTGCTGACAGTTTACAAAGAAAATAACAAGTGCAAAATATCACAGAGAAATTTTCTTAGAGGACTGGGACTAGAGCTCATAGAGGCCATTTATAGAAGAGGGAAAACTAAATCTTTGTGCCCAGAGTACTATGCAAAATCTCACACTAGTGAGCTTGTAAAGAGGCAAGTGCAGCATCATAAAAACCTGTAACAGGAAAACAAAGAAGATGTCTACTGTACCCCGTAAGAAAGTACAGGAAAACAAGCCATAGGTGCTCTCAGTGTAAAGAACACTAAGCACACATGATGTCAGTGTAAGCGAGATGTGTGTATGGAACATGCAGCTGTCATGTGTGGGGACTGCCTTGGGTGTGACAATTCAAACAAAGCTTATTCAAAGTAGATTTCCATCGGTATTTTCATTGTAGTTCTTATAGGAATTTATTTCTGATTTATTTTTAAGGTTTTGTAAGCAAGTACACAGCTGATGTGAAAATGTTGATGTCCATTCTAACTGCACAATACATATTAAGAATTTATTAATTTATTGATATTTTATTTTCCTGCTAAGTACACACTACATAATACTAATCTTCTGACAAAACAGCAAGACCACTGAGATGTCAAATATGTCCTACAAAAAGGCCAGGAAAGCAAAGACATGTGCTGTCAGTGTAAGCAATGTGTGTGTTTGGAAAGTGTTGTTGTCATATGTATAGACTGCCACAGGTGTAATAACTGAAGTTAAGATTATTTTTTTTTTGTAAAGTGCTATAGAAATTTCATTGTAGTTCATATAGAAATTTACTTCTGAGAGGGAGAAAAATGGTAGCTTGCTAGGGGGCTGGGTGCAGAGTCTCTGCGGAGAAATCAGATCAGATACTAGAATATGACAACATGGAGAGGGCCAGACGAATGGATAACAATTCTTATTAACCAAGGCGGTAACCAAAGGGAAAAATAAAACTAAGAAGAGGAAGGAAAAGCGTGGATGGAGAGCTGAAGCCCGATGTACTCACTGAGCCCTGTTCTGCACTGTATTAGGAGTGCCCGGAAGATTTAATTAAGGTCATGCAGAGACTGCGGCTGCCAATAACAGGAGTCTGCAAATCCCACACCCTTAACGCGGCACAGTGAGCAGTGGATCAAAGGGGAAAAGCTGTATTGGCTCTTGGTGACTGCTGGAAATTGAGACCTGGGACCCCGCCAAACAGCCAAAGCTCCGAAGCCAGACACCCTGCAGTTTTCTGACCGATCCGAGCTGTGCTGGGAATGCAGTGAAGATAAGCAGCGCAGTTTGCACTGGACCCAAGAGGAAGATCTGCAGTGAGTCCCGGTGAGTACTAGGGACTGGGTCCCGTGGCTGCTGTTGCTGGCTGGAGGACATCTTGGAATTGCGCAGAGCCTGGCACCACCGCGGCATCAGTGACACAGAGAGGCCTGGTAGAGGATATCTTGGAGTTGGGCAGAGCCCGCACCATGGTGACATCAGATAGTCGCCCTGGTGCAGAGAGGTCTGGTGGAGGACATCTTGGAATTGGGCAGAGCCCGGCGCTGTGGTGACATTGATAGTCGTCCCTGGCGCAGAGAGGTCTGGTAGAGAACAGCTGGGATTTGGGCAGAGCCTTGCGCCGTGGTGACATCAGTCAGCTGCTTATGGCACAGAGAGAACTGGCAGGGTCTGCTGGGGCTGAACCATGGCTCTGGTTGGGACCCAATAAGCAGATACAAAATAGTTGCGACTCTGTGACGTCCACAAGATAGAGCCTAACTTGCGGACTGACCCGCACAGAGGTTAGAGGCTAGCCTGCACCATCCTTGCATCACTGCCTACCTCAGATAACAGCAAATTGGGAAGGGCAGCAAAAACTGCAATCAGCATGCTTCAGAAAGGCCCTAAGCAATATGGAGAGGGTCAGAAACGCACCCCCAGGACACACCAGTCTGAAAGAAACCAGAAACATGACAAAAGATAGAAATTTTAAAAAATCTCCAGCTGCTGAACCTGAGAAAATAAGGGCAGGAGAAGTAAACACAGAAGAGAACCAGCACAGTAACCATCCAGTACTAGACACAGCATCAGCTAAAATAAAGAAATACCTTCATGACCTCATAGACGAATTTAAAACTGTACTTCTGATCCAAGGGAGGCAAGATATAAAGAGATTAATTAAAGAAATGATAAGCCCCTCCCAATAGAACACAGATGGAAGAACAGAGGAAATCAGAAAAGAGAAACCTCTGATGAAGAATTTAAACATAACCTAGAATACATGAAACAGATCCAAAGAGATTACTAAGAAACTAAAAGCTCCATTGAACACTGGCAAAATGCCTTGACAGAAACTAAAGTTAGCCTTTTGAAACTTGAAGAGATTTATGATATATGATCATGAAAGAAATGACCTCTTAAAAATAACAAGGAACCAGAAAGAAACAATTCAAAGGCTAGAACACAACAAAAGGATACACAACTTAAGAATAAAGCATGTGAGTGAGGAAGCAGGAGCAACCAAAAAAGAAATACAAAGAATATTCACAGATATATTAAGGGAAAAATTCCCAAGCATAGGAAAAAGAAATGATATCCAGATAAATGAGGCATACATAACTCCAGCCACCTATAACCAAAACAGATCTACACCCAGACATATAATAATCAAGATACCAGAAATCCACCAAAAGAACAGAATACTAAAAGCAGCCAGGGAAGAGAAGCAGATAACCCACAATGGGAAAATTATCAAAATAACAACAGACTTATCAACACAAACTCTCAAATCAAGAAGGGTTTGGGAGGAAATATTCCAAGCCCTGAAAGAAAATAATATGCAACCAAGACTGATAAACCCAGAAAAACTCTCTCTCAAAATTAATGGAGAAATAAGATGTTTCCAAGACAAGGATGAACTGTGGTAGTTCATGGCCGCCAACCTAACCCTACCAAAAATACTGAAGGACATTCCAGAGAGAGAGAGAAAGAGAGAGAGAGAGAGAGGGGAAAAAATCCAGGATTCCAGCAACAGTGCCAGAGAGGCCTCAAAGAAAGGGGCAGATAGGGGAATGAGGGAGTAAGTTGGACAAACTATAGCAGTAAAGTGGAGTAGCAGACATGATGCAGAGATGGCAAACTACAATCTTTAATATAGATAGCTTTGATACACTATTTAAAAAAAGGCAGAGGTCATTGTTAATAGTGTATCAGGATTTAAAAGTCACAGTAGTCCCATTGCTCTGCTTAGTTTGAATTTATTTTGTTCTGGTCTGTCCACTCATATCAGATTTGAAGGCACAGACATTTGACCCAAAAATAGCAGGTTATACTATGGTAACTATCCTTAATTTCCTACTAACTTAAACTGAAACCCTGTATTACTTACATTGTCTTACTATGACTGACCTTATTTGAATCTGATTTGTTAGACTGCAGTTTTGCCTTGGCTGACTTTAATTGAATTTGGTATGCTTGATAGTATCAACCCTAAAAGTAGAGGCAACTACTCTGAAAATGACAATATGTAAAAGATATCCATATCGGTTTTGATTATTAACAGCTCTCAAGTCCTACAATGTTTTCAAAGTTGTGTTTTTATAAAAATAGCTGTGTAATACTATGCCTAACTATATTAAGCCTGCTGATGTGGACTAGTCTATTGAAAATAACAAGAGAAAGCATAGTAACTAGGTAGGTCACCTAATATTGTGGTCTTATGTGTCTTTTTCATTGCATGTTTTTCTAGGAATTTGCTTTGCTGTCTTGTTATGATTTGTTTTTCCCTATAATACAGAGAGGATAGATATACGTGTAGAAGTTCACACATGGGAAGATTTTTTAAAACTATTTACGGGAACAGATTATTAATGCAAGATGTAATGAACAGATACTCTGAAGAAGAGGAGACACTAAGAAACCCAACACTAATTCTGTAGCATTATGATATAAAATCTAGCAAAACTATCATTCACTGTTCAGAGCGATATTAGTTTAGTCTCTTATGTTCAATTTCAGCATACGTAAAGGTAAGGACAGCTACTACAAACAGAATGAGAGACATTATGGCAGTCATTATTGACTTCCCCAATGTCAGGTCTTGAAGACCTAAAAAGCCTTCTTTCTGTAATGATTTGATTAGTTCTATAATATGCAGTATATATTTAATGTGTGTGAAGATGGGGACAACTATTTGGAAGAAAACTACAGACAATTAGATAAACAGTGAAGATCTCCAGTGGACTTGCTTTGAAATCTGTATTTCTTTAAACTGTTTCTTTTTGAACTGTTTTGTTCTGTTTTGATATGTTTAATCTTACCCTCTTTAAGATAAAAAGCAAGTGTGTAGGACTGATAACCATATTACTAAGTTTTTGTTCGATCACTGAGCAGAACTGTTGGCAGTGTCACTATTTGAATTTCACTTTACATACTTTAATTTTGTAACCTAAACAACTATTGCTAAGATGACAATATGTAACTTATCAACTGGTGATTTCTTACCGTTTATTTTTCTGTAATTCTGTATTATTTCTACTCTTTTTTTCTCCATGTATTTTTTTGTTTCTTTCTCTTTAAATAAAAAAAAAAAAAAAAAAGAAAGAAATTTACTTCTGATACTCTTTTTCCAGAGTTTGTACACCAAAAACCAGTCTGATGAAAATTTTTTATAAATTTTTAAAATAACACTTTGTTTTTTTGATATTTTTTTCTTTTCTTTCTCTTTAAATAAAAAAAAAAAAAAAAAAAGAAAGAAATTTACTTCTGATACTCTTTTTCCAGAGTTTGTACACCAAAAACCAGTCTGATGAAAATTTTTTATAAATTTTTAAAATAACACTTTGTTTTTTTGATATTTTTTTCTTAAGTACTCACTGTTAAACGTAAAAAAACTCATAAAATTAAAATTTATCAATAGACGTATTCTAAAGAATAAACAGGGGTCTGACAGATTCATGTTCCTTGGCTTCTAGGGCTACTCCTGGTGACCTTGATCCTAGCATTGCACCATGAATCAATTCCAGCATGACCCACTCTAGATCCAGCCACCTCTGCAAAAGCTCTATGCATGAACCCACGAGGTTGTGGGGGAAACATTTAAACAGAAGGCTTAACTGTTGGCTTTCTATGATTTCTTGTAAGTATTCAAGCATGCTCATTTGGTTGAAAATCTACATGCAGAGCCTCCAAATAAAAATTAAGTGTTAGATGCTGGAAGGTGATATATGAAAGGGAATTTTATCCAATACACTGAATAATACGAGTGTTTTCTGCAACTTGGGATCTGTTTTTGCTTTTTGAGACAGTTTTGCTACGGCGTTCAGGTTGGCCCTGAAAACTAACTTCTAAGTCAAGACTGGCCCTGAACTCACAGCTATCCTACCAAGTAGTGGGATTACACAGGTGTGTGCTGGGTGAAATCGTTAACTGATTTGATTTACATCTATTATTACTTATTAGCTAATCACACAGGTTCTTCTAAAATTTCTATGGTATTTTATTTTATAGAGATGACTTTTTTCACTGCAAATGAAGAAACTGAGGACCATAGAAATTCAGTATTTTGCTCAAAACATCATCTTTGCAATGATGAAACTATTAGAATTTTTCATACATGACTGTAGAAAGTTACACAAAGAATATGATGTGTAAAAATTGTTTCAAACATTAGAAAATAATTTGTTGGAAGGCTATACATTAAAAAGTTAATCTTTAGGGAGAGGGTACTTTCCTTTTACTTTCTGAACTATTAAAAAATTTCCAATAGTGATATCTGTTGATTCTATTATTTAAAAATAAGACTAGAATCATGGATTGTATTTTTATTTTGCACGCTTGCAGAACAAAAACTTTTCTTTCGTTTGCTCTGGAGATCGATCTCAAGACCTCGTGCTTGCCAGGAAGGTGCTTACACCACTGAGCTAAATCCTGGCCCAACAAAAGCTTTTTTTAAAAAAAAATTCTTTATATTAAATAATTTTTAATTTCAAGTATTCAGTTTTTCTCATTGAACAACAATATGTAGTCTAGCGGTTAATTCATTAGTTTAGTGCACAATAACAAACAGTGTAAGTCTGATTAAATACAACTGCAAAGAATAAAAATGTCCCTTGTTCAGAATGCATTTTTAAAGTCATCTGGAAAACCTGTACTGCTGATCGTAAGAACGAATCAGGTAAACGCATGGAGCTGACTGAATACAAAAAACATTAATACCAGAAAATAACTCTCATGTCTTACTGACAGAGGATAAGAATTTATGTATCAGTTACTCATTTCCAAGTAAACGTTTTTTTCATAGCCATCAACTCACTCTACTTCTAAACAGAGTATAAATAGACCTTTACTAAGGTAGTTTCTACACTTTTAGAAAAGCTACAAACTGTGTCACAAAACTTATAGTTACTAAAATAATATACTTGTTTTAGTATATAAACATCAAGTAAAATACGGTACCTGTGACATCTTCTGGGTCTGATACAACAATATGGGCATTCAATTCCTGTAGCTTGTGATGTAGTTCTTCTAACTTCTTATTTGATTTTTTCAAAATGTTATCTACATAAGCCAAACTTTTTTTATCTGTTGTAACTTTCCTTAGATTTTCAGCTCCTTCTTTGATTTTCAGTTCTTTCCTTATTTCTCTCTTGATTCGATCTTTGATATCATCCAATTTCTGTTGCACCATTGTATCTGAAAAGTCTAACTTCTGAACAGCACTCACACTCTCAGAAAGTGGAAGAGTTCGGGAATCGCCCTATGAAAACAAAACAAAAAATAAATAGGAGTTCAGTGAAGTTAGCCACTTAGTAAAATATACAGCATTAAGGATAATTGTATTTTTAGCATAAAGAGAAGCTTTATTAATTATATTAAATTCCTTAATAAGTAATGGTTTATTAATTTACTTTTGTTAATACCACATAAAACTGTAAATTCAAAAACTGCTTATCCACTAAGTACCATTACTTGACAAATATGTTAAGTGAACACAACATATTTATACAGAGCGGCATCTCAGAGTTGGATTTTGACAGTGGATTTGATTATCTATAAACCCAAGTTAAATCCCAGCCCCACATTGTGAACCTTGGTAACGACACTTCACCTTTCAAATACTCAGTTTAACTGTGAAGTTTAAATATTAGACTCCTTTCAGAGATAGTGGTAATTTAAAATTTTAAAAGAGAAATTACAAACATGATTCTTGGCCTGCTGTAGTCACTTCATGAAAACATTACTAAAGTAGGTGAGTCATTTTATCCTCTATAAAAATGCTTAGAAACAAACTAAGCTGGTGCAGTGCCATGTGCCTGGAATGCCAATTCTTGGGAGGCCAAAAGTGGAGGGTCACTTCAGCTCAAGTTCAACCAACCTGGGTAACACAAGATGTTTCCCCTCTTGAAGAAAACAAAAGGATTCAAAATGCCAAAATAAAGTGATACTCACATGGTCAGTTTTTCATCAGCCCAATTTGGGTTTGAGAAGACCATTTAGATTGCTATGTGTATGTTTCACAGTCAACTATCTCAACTGATAATTTGATGGATTCACTATAAAAACAGTAGTAGCAGAAAAATCTCTACATTATGCCCTAATAAAAGCCAAGAAAATACCCAGTATAGTTAACCTTAAAATGAAATTCTATTAAGTAAGTTTAATCTATATTTAAAACATCCAAAGTTATCTTCTAGTTATCTGTATATTTTACTATTTTATCCACTGCTGTAATACTGTTTTTCAAATAGATTTTTAATTCTAAAAGATAAGGAAGCAGATGATTGTTACCTCTAGGAAGAGCTAAATTTTTGAAGGCCGCGGAAAAGAGGAAGACATATTTCACTATTCAGCTTTTTATGCACTTTTTGAAGCAGAGTTAATTAAAATTGATATTACAGGCATGTGTCACCATGCCTGGCTAATCTAAATTTCGATCCCTAAAAATTATGCTATGTGCAAAATAGTGGAAAAGGTAAGCTAAAGGAAAACATGAGTTTTACTATTGGTTTCCATATCAACTTACCCTGTACTCCAAAGCACATTAAATAAAAATGAAATTGTTCATTTCTACGAATCTGTTTCTAAACCATTTTAGAGGTAAGACCTCTTGAAATTCAGACAAAAAGCAGTAGAGCAAAAAACAAACAAAAAAACCCAAAACCCCAAAACAACAAAACACAAAAAAGCCAAAACACCAAAAAACAACCCACACAGATATAGGATGAACTTTGACCTAAGTCAAAATGCTATTTAGGTTTTTCTGTAATGGAATTCAACTTTCCTAGTATTTGGTTAGTTTTCAAAGCTTATGAGTAATCCACCTTTTACTAGTTATCAAAATACTAACAAAAGTTAACTATCACAAAAAATAAAACTCCAAATTTCTGTCTGGTTTTATGAAAAGCAAATGGAGGCAAATAATATTATATGAAAAAAGTTTAATCACATTCTTCTAATTAGTTAAACTTCAATCTTTATAAATTTACCAGAAACATTACACAAAGTAACAAATTCATGCCTTTGATATCAAGTCACAGATTCCCAAAATGTCTTGATTTATGGTATCCTTAGCATCTCAGTGAATTTTTTTCCTTATTTCCTTATAGGCCAAAAGAAATATCTAACAGTTTGATATACTGAGTAGTAAGGGACAAATAATAAATACTTGTGTTTTAACAACTTAGTCACTTTATAAAATAATAATAAACTAAAAGAAAAATGTTTCTTTCTTACGCCCACTTCTATCCATTTGCTCCCTAAATTCCAACCATATTAAATTATGGACATTTACTAAAAGAGACCACTCTCTTGGCTCATTTATAATGCATGCTGTATCTTTGAGATGTATCACTTCTCTAACTTCAACTATCTCTAAGTTCCTTCTTGGTCTAGTTATCTATCATTTTGTGCCTTTTTGAACTGGGGATTGAATTCATGACCTCATGCTTCCCAGGCAGGCACTCGTGCTGTTGAGTTAAATCCCCAGTCTTAAAGCAGCTCCTTTTTCTTTCTCTTTTTTTTTTTTTGGGTACCAGGGATTAAACACACGACCTCGTGCTTGCCAAGCAGGCACGTATGCCAATGATCCCTAGCTTTTGTCATTTTGTTTCAAAATTCACCACAACTCTTTCTGGGAAAGATTTCCTGTCCAGTGACCTCCTGTAAGATTTAGCTAAATGATTCTCCTCTGTGCTGATTCTATCCATCTTACTGAAATCAACTATCTCTTTTATTATCTAACCATTCCACAGACTATGAACAATTGAAGGCAGGACTTGTTTGGCAGATTAATATGTTTTTCAAAAGTGATTTGTCTATTTTTAAAACTAACATATATTTATTTGGGGTTGGGCATGTAGTTCAGGGTTGCCTTGAATTCTACTATGGAGCCCAGGCTGGCCTTGAACTCACAGAGATCCTCCTGCCTCAGCGTCCTGAGTGGTGGGATTATAGGTGTATGCTACTCTGCCTGGCACCTAGTCTATTTTCAAAATGATTTGTAATATTTTTCTTTTAAAATTCAGGAAAACCTAGCACTGCTGAAGAACTCATACTTTCTTTTGAACAGAATTTGTACGCCAGCAAGCTCAAAAAGAAAACTGATAACTATAGCAACAGTTAGATCTGAACTAAATATGGTTAGCATGTTTGCACTCTCTTCCCTTCCACAGACTTAATATTTTAGCAACCATATTTTTTTTATGCCAATCTATTGTTGTGACATAGCTCAAATGCCTTTTGGAAACAGCAAGGGATATATATACCATAATCATTTAAAACAAATGATGGTTGATAAGAAAGGTTTTAATACTTCCTATAAATTTTACTGTCAATAAACTTTTAATATATTGGACAGCAAATTTTCTTACATTTGAAACAAGATATTTGATTTACTAAATTATGTTTCTATGCTTAAAAAATAGCTATTATTGATCATAATGTCACGAGTCATTAGTAGGCAATGAAAAAATATTCTTCACCTGTGTAAATTAAATTAGTTGGCATCAGGAAAATAAATAGCTACATAGTCAATGACAATCTTTACAATGATAATCTTTTCAATAGATTGTGTTACATGCAGAAGTAAATGTCTAAACTATAGGTATCAAATAGTTTAGCTTGCATGAGCTGTACTAAGTGAACAGGAATTGGGCTGCATATAAAATATTTGCTATAATTCATGTATGTAAATCACAAAAGTTCCTTTTCTTTAAATATTTTATTATAACAGTAAAAGAAAGCAAAATGACCCTAGTGGAATATTTGAACTTGTTTTTGTGAATCTAATCTATCAATGTCTGGTTCAATGGAATTGGTTGTAATTCTTAGTGAGTTTCCAAAGTACTTGCCAGAAATTGTTGATCTAACTTTATTCTGTGTGTTTCATCACTGAAAATAGTTCTTCACAAGTGAACATACTGTAAAAGGTGACGACATAAACAAGATGTAATTCTCAAGTGAGGGACATTTTTCTCTGGGATGATAGGCCTTTAAATTTTTCTTTGAGCTTAATGAATAATTATAAATGTGTATTTCCAAACTTAATAAGCATTCAGTTTTTCAGTATTAGTAATGTTGCTTATGTAATTATAGCAGTATGAACAAAAACTGTTTGATGTGTTTTTGCACTTCCTATATGCTATAACTATTTCAAATTATTAAATTATTTTATAAAAGAACAGAATAAGCCCTGGTTCAATAATTAAAGAAGAAAATTTATGTTTGCTTAGTAACAATAAACTTTTAGGTTGAAATACTATTAGCCTTTTACCATTGCTAAATACTACTATGATTTACTTGTTAAGTTGAACTAGCACATGTATGTTTTCATCTGTTACTTCTTAACTCTATTTGGGCCTAGTATAGACAACATGGCAAGACCTTATCTCAAAGTTAAAAACAAAACAAAAAACACAAACTAAAGGTGTAGCTCAATTTAATAGTCCTGTATTCACTTCTGAGTATCAGGAAAAGTAAACTTTTTTCATGCTTCTTCCCCACTAGACATCTTTTCTCATGTTTTTAAACAAAGTTGGATCCAGCTTCTAATCACTAACTCCCTTTTAAACTTTATTAAATATGAACACGTATGTGGATATGAAAAAGGAAACCACCAATTTGCTATATTAAGATAAGCGCAATAATTTCAGTATCTTTTATTACTGAAATGGTAATTCTAGCTATTCCATTGTATTCAAATTAATCTAACATATGGTTAGCATTCTTTCACCTTGTCTTTCTTATGCTACTTTTGTTTGCTACTATCAAAATTGACCATAATTAAGTGTTTGAAAAATAGTTCAACAAATCCTTTATGATCAATCCCGTCTTCCTAAGTTTAGTAAACTAAACTCTTATCATCTGTAGTCCTAAAGTAATTATTGAATCAGAGGATCAAATCCAAACATGAAGAAACCATTGTGGAATAAATACTCTCAGACTCTTAAAGAAACTGAAATTAAAATAAAAGAACAGAAATCTCAAAGAATTAAAAACTATAAAATTTACAGTTTTCAAATGAACCAAAATACAAGAAAAACTCAATAAATAAATTAAGTAACAGGTTAGACAAAGACAAGTAATTTATATACTGACAGACAACTGAGGAAATTATTCTGAACTCATATACAAAGTAAAAATTATGAAGATTAACAGGTATGGAATTTATGAGGGCAGATCTAAGCTCAATCAAATACCAACTCCAGAATTAGAAAATAACAATAGTAGAAAAGCATTGTACGAAAAGATAAGTGAAAA